ATCTTTCAAATTGCTCTTCCTAGGCAGTCATTTATTTTGACCACAAATACATCTAATTTTATATTTAAAAGAAATCTTTGTAATACAAAGCTTTTCTGAAGGAAAAACGTATATCCAGTTGTGACACCTGTGCCATGTATAAGAATTTGCTGTTAATGTTACAAAACTTAGCTCTACAATTGCCTTCCACTGTTTGCTTATTTTGCTGAGTCATTAACTTGGTTGATTCTCTAGACAGTACAAATCATGAGATGCACTTATGATAGTCAATATCAGAGTAATGGCTGGAGTAGTTTGGGGTTGAGGTTCCTTTCTTATGAAAACACTGTGAGTTGGCTGGTGTGTATCTTTCTGGTAACACATCTGTGAGTTAAGGATGCTTCCTATTGTAGGTCATAGGGTCTGGCGCCTGCAGATCTGGTTTTGGCTTAGGCTTGTTTTTCACACTAATGGGGATTAAGCTTGTTGGTACCAGTTCCATCTTTTCCATTAGATGCTCATTAATAAAACTCCAGATGCCCATTATTCATCACATCATAATATACTGGACAGCAGTTAATTCACCTGAAGTTTTCACATTTGATAACTTCCTCATTCGTGTTAATTGGGTACTTGGAATTTTCCATCAATCGTGGCATCTCAGGTTTTGACTCTCCTGAAAGAGTCCATTTATGAGACATATATTATATGCTCAAGGTACACAAGTAAAATTAAGTGTAGGATTCAATTTCAACTATGACTCATGTCTGCTTCAACTGAAGTGCAGGGCATAACTCGGTCCTTCAACAGATTCTTCCTCAAAAGAGGAAAGACGTTACCTTTACCTCAGCTCTCCTGGCTCAGAACTCCACTGATCCATTGTGCCGTGAGAAAGATTTACATTCAAGGAGGCTTTGAAAGGACATCTGCTGCAGGGAGCTGTGTGGGGAAAATGCCTGACAAGTTCTGAGCACCTGGAGAATTAAGTTCTTCTCTGAGTATCACGATTTCGTTCCTTGTGCTTCTTATTTGTAAACCCTAACAGTTGAAATCAATGGTCTCTTTGGATCATTCTGCTCTTTAATGTGGCCAGAATCTGTTGGTGAGAATTCTTGAGGTCTGAGGGAGTACTGTTGATTTTCTCTACCTTGCTACAGTTATCTCCCCTGTTTCCACTCACCTATACCTTCCCCTTAAAGAAATGTATTGTTCTTTTATTCAAAGCAACTCCAGAATTCATGCCCTGTTTCTCTTCTCATTGTAAAATATTTTTTATAAAAACAAGAACATTGGTGGTATACAGTTCATTTTTTTTTCCTACTGCTTTTACCACAAATGGTTAAAATTTAGGTATAGCCCATTTCAGTGAAAGAGAAACTCAGCAGAGGACACGAGCTCAGGCCGCCTTTGTCCATGACATGGGTGAGTCATCTTTCCATTACGTGATTGGCCTTTAACTGTGGCAGTATCTGCTCACTGGGCTGAATCAGCAGTCATCCCATTGGTTGGTGTACCCTCCAAGGTCAAGTAAATAAGCAATTCCTACAGCCCCAAATTTCTCCTTATGCCATCATGCTGCCAGGATACTAAGTAGGTCACAATAGGACCCAGATAATAATTCACTTCAGGTTTCCAGGTTGCTAAGAGCCCTAGTGCTTGTCCTGTGTATGGCCGACATTCTCTTCAATCTTGCTTGACTCTTTTCTTTCCGAGGTCTTGATCTCAGATCTGCATATATTTACATGTTTTAGCTTGTAAGCTCTTTAGCTGCAAATTATATGAAATAGAGGTCAGCCCTCTGCCAATATAATTTTCTTTTTTCCCCCTTTGCTTACTCTAAAAAGTAAATAAAAACATAAAGAGAAAGAATAAAAAAGTGAAGTCTTTCCATAGAGGTCTTTTAATTTTGTCAAGATGATTGTTTTAACACTCTTCTCCAGAGACTGCATTGTAGCCTCGACTTCCAAGGTGTTTTGCTCCAAGTTGGTGTTTTCCCTACTATACATGGAGGGATATTGGTGATTCTCAAAGGTTAAAAGATTTATGACCTCTCCTGGTGAGGATGGATCTCAAGTCAATATACAGGCTTGGACAGTCTGGACCCTCAATTAAATCGCTAATATGTGATCTGGGTTTCTGACCATTCTCAGTTCAGTTTTGCTAGTAAATGTATATAGTTAGCGATAATCAGTGGGCTAGGCCTTTCTGTCTTCAGGATAATTGTGGTTCTTAACTCTTTAATCATATTTCTAGAATGATGTTTTTTTTTTGAATTTGTGTTTAGTTTCATATTTTTGTCTATCCATTCTAATTCTTAAGTGTTACTGCTGCTTAACTTACTTTCGAATTCAAGTTCATCTAGCATCCTTTGAACTTTCCAAGCACTTTCAGTTTTGTGTCCTTCTTAAACCATACTATAAAATATTATGCATGGATTTGGGAATGAAGAAGAAATACTACTAATTTATAAATTCAGTAAAGTTTCATCTCTTGCACTTATGTGCTGCTAGTTTATTTGGCATATTTGTGTGCATTAGAGGAAGCCTGTCTTTCCTGAAGACATTTTCCTATCTTCCAGAACAACAATCTTAAACAATAAAGAAATCTATGATGACTATGAATAGCTCTCCCTGGAGCTGGCTAGGGTAAAAGTTGTACCACTGTATGCAGGAGCCTCCAAGAGTCACGAGTGAGTGAGTCAGTCAGTTCAGTTGCTCAGTCGTGTCCGGCTCTGCGACCCCATGAATCTCAGCACGCCAGGCCTCTCCAAGAGTCATTAACTTTACTTAAATACAGTTGCTCTAATTATACTTGTATACTTTCCTGAAAGAACACCATCTTTATGGATTGACTATGATTGTTGAAAATGGGAACTGAACTTGAAGTTCAGTAAGAGGTAGTGCTTCACCAATAACTGAAATGATTGCTCCCTTTCTTAGGATTACAGTGTAAAACTCCTTTATTCATTGAAAAACAGCAGAGGTATGAAGTCCATCTTTTCTGAAGAGATTGCCTCCAGAAAAAACAAAATCCCAATGTTAAATAGAGAAATCAGTAACATAAATCATGTGCTACATGATTATTGGGCACATTATAATCTGTGTATGTGCAGCATTTTAAAATACATCTGATGATTAATAAATCATCCATGTGTAATGACATATGGATATCAGAAAAATGGTTCTCTGAGTACTGCTAAAATCTGCAGAGTAGAATATTGGAAGGTTTCCAAGACTTGATTCATATGCTGTTTCCAAAATCTAAACAACAATGGATCAGATGTTTACCTGGATTAATGATTTAAGTTAATCATTCCATTTATTCTCAGAAGACCATAATGGGAATCAAAGGTTATGATCTAGATTTAATGCTATTCAAGTTACATCCTATTAAATATTCATCTTTTTTGAATGAAGTATAAAAATGGAACACCAGTGCCTAAACTAGGGGATAAAGTACATTTTTAAGCAAAGCATAAAAAACTTCCCTGGCCAAGTTCACCATCTAAGTTCTTGTTGGTGTAAGTGGATGAGGTGGAGGCTTGGGCTCTTTTATGAGCTAGGGTCTTCAGAATCTGTCCCATAATCCTGGGTAGAAGAACCAAATGGAGCTAATGTTTGTGTTCTAGATGAAAGCGTGCTCATGGATAGAAGAAGAGCTTTTTGAACTGAATCTGAAGGGAAAAGTCTGCCATGGAGATGAGGTAAAATTTCTGAAGAATGAAACAGTCTGTGGGGTAGAGTGTGTTTACATTTTCAAACACTTACCTCTTCAACTCCATCTCCTATGTTTCGAATACTCAGTATATCCAGCTACACCAATTATTACTTTTCCCTCTGCCTTGAAAATTCTTCCCATCACCTCCTATCTTTTGAACTTTTTTTCTTTTAAATCAAGTCTCTACTTCTGTGAGTTAATTTTTTATCTGAACTGTTATGCAAACTTGGATGGTAGCATATATCCTAAGACATTGTAACTATTTGAGAGTAGGATAATACCTTCTTTAATCAGTCTATGCCTATAGATGGAATCTAAAATTCTCTCTGTAGAGTTTGTGGTATAAATAAATGAATAAATAAAAATTATCATTACTGAGATCTGTATTTTGCCCTTATGCATAACAAATGCATTATCAAGCCCCAGGCATTTATGATCACTTTCCAGGTGCCAAAGTCTCATATTAGCAAATGTTTTCTTGGGATACCATGGCTTATGTATGAGACACAGACCTTATCATCAATGAATTTACAATGTACCTGGGGAAACAAAATATATATTCATGAAATCAGTAGGAAACATGCAAGTTAGTGTGTGACACATACTGCCTTTGGTACAGACCAAGTTAGTAAGTGGTTTGAAATAAGCCCTCTTGGGACTTCTGAGAACTCCCTCACTATTAAAGCTTCTCATAGAGTAGACAAAGGAATAAAAGGCCATAGGCATAAAAAAAGAATTTCTTGGGACTTCCTTGATGATCCAGTGCTTAAAACTTCATTTCCAAGGCAGGGGGTGTGGGTTCGATCTCCAGTTGGGGAGCTAAGATCTCACATGCCTTGTAGCCAAAAAAACAAAACATAAGACAGAAGCACAATTGTAACAAATTCAATAAAGGCTTTAAAAATGGTCCACATTTTTAAAAAATCTTAAAAAAAAAGAATTTCCTCATATTTACACTGGAATAAGAGTTTGAGTACTTAAGAAGGTGAAAGGTGAAGTCTCTTACAACCATGAGGTTTCTCGAAATTATAAGGCAATAACATTGGCGGCGAGGTGGTTTATGTTACTCCAGGAAGGGGAAGAACATGATGATGTCCTTTGTCTGACAATATGCTTCTGTTATTAGGACCAAGGGCTTCTGAAGGATGTGCTAGTGGACCATCACACAGGTTTCTGATTTCCTCTCCTTTTGTTTGAGATACTGGTGTTAAAAAATTTTCAAACTAAGTTAAAATTTTTCAGACATAATCTTTTCTTAATGTTCAAAATANCTTCACCTTTTTTCTCTCCTTCTCTTTCTGCAGGCTACACCCATCAGGCCCTGAACTCCACCCCCAGCAGTGAGTAGCAATCTGCGGGCCCTAATGCTCCATTGCTCGGGGCCCATCCTTCCTCCCTGTTATCCTCAGTCCATGCACCCAGAGGCGGGAGGAGCTGGGAAACCTCTGCACTTCGCTTTCCCTGCTTCCACTCTGAGCTGGGGAAAGACAAGCCTGGCATAGACCTTAGACTGAACAGGAGAAGGATCTCAGGGTTCCATGATGGTCCCTCCTTGATCAGAGAAGCCCTCTCTTCCACTATATTTGCCTCACTGTGTTCTCTTCCCAGTTGCCATGACCTCTACCATCTTCCCAGCGACTTCTATGGCCCCAGTCTCGGTCTCTACAGGTAGGAGAGACCTGTAGAGACCTCTTTGCACTTTTCTTCTGCAAAGGTCTTGTGCACTTGGTCATTGGAGATCATCGTACTCATTCATTCTTTCATTTGATACATATTTATTTAGCACTTACTATATAAAAGGCCCTGGTGATACAGCAGCAAAGAGAATAGAAAAGGCTAGTCTTAGATGGACTTCCAACATGAAAGACAGAGACTAAAGATGTGACTGTACAAGTAAATATGGAATTAGCCTTATCAAGGGTGAGATTTGGTGGTGAGAAGGGCTGTTTCTTTCAGGGAATTTAGTTTTTATTTCCAGAAAAGAAAGGAATAGCATGAGCTGCAAGTATAGCTGTCTCACAGGTCCTGGTCAGGGACTTAGGCAGACTCTGGCTCAATCAGAGGCCAGCTTCCCATTCCTGGCCTCCAACTGGCCCAGAGTAGATTTCAATACCACCCATTGACCCGACTGAGGGTCTGAGATATCATTATTGCTAGCTTGCTTGGATCTCTAGGTACTCATCAGTTAGAGCCTCCAAAGGAGTTCTCACCACTGACCACTCAGGCCAGAGTGAGTGGTCACTACAGGTGGGACTTGCCAGTGGTCCTAAGTGGAGGGGTTAGGAGCACAGACTCCTGGACCACACACCTGGATTCATTCTATGCTCTGCCACTTAGAGATTAAATGGCTTGGGGCAAATTACTTAGCCTCCCTTGAGTTTTTATATCTGTAGAATGGAGATAAGAATACTATCACCCTCCAAAGGTTTTGCCTCAAGAAGTAAATGAGTTAAAATGTAAGGAAGGTACTTTAAACAGAGCCTTACCCATAGAAATGCAATGCAAGCATTTCTTCAAACAAAATTTTAAAAATAATAAGTAGGTGAATCTCAGAAAAATAATTTTTTTAAAAAAGCTAAAAAAAAAAAAAAGAAAATAGGATATCTGTCTAGAATTTTAGCTAACTGAAGGGTCAGACATGCTTGCTTCTTGCCTGTGGATTTATTGGGTTGGTCCAAAAATTGTTTGGGTTCTTCTGTTATAGCCCATGGACAGACCCAAAGGAGCTTTTGGGCCAACCCAATATTTACTCTTTAGTGCACTTTTTCATAACTATCCCCAGTGCTTCCAGCGAGGGTGATGTCTGGGGTCTCCTCCCTGTGGAAACTACCCATGCTGGAGGAAGACCCTCCCCAATCTTGAAGATATTCAGGGGGGATGACCCGTGCCCGGGATCATTGAGCACAGGGTAAGCTCAGTGGATGTCTCTCGCAAATTCCTACTCCAGTAGCCAGCCCTGCCCTGGTGCCATTCACCCTCAACTTCACCATCAATAACTTGCACTATGTGGAGGACATGCGTCGCCCTGGTTCCTGGAAGTTCAACCACACAGAGAGAGTCCTGCAGGATCTGGTGAGAGCCCCACCCACTTCACTCCTCCCCGCCCATGTCACTCCTGCCCCGCCCACCAAACACAAGCCCCACCTACCTCACCCTTGCTCCCACGGATGCCAGCCACACCCATGTCACATCTGCCCTTCTCCCAACCCTCACATTTCCTATTCTCCCTCTCCCCCCTCTATAGCTCAGACTCTTGTTCAATAACACCCGGTTGGGCCACATATACTCAGGCTGCAGACTGACATCGCTCAGGTAAGACCTTGGCATAGGCTGCCAGAGCTGCCTCAAGTGTTCCCAGACCCAGGGAGTTTGACTTTCCTCCTTCCTGTCTTCCCTGTATCCTCAACTGAGGTGGCATTCAGGAGTCACCGACTTAAGGACCAAGGACTTCCCCCAACAGTCCCCAGATTCTGCAGACTATCAGCAGGATTGAGCCCCTAGCCTGGTCATCCTTCTGAATTCCCCCCTTCCCTTCCCTTGACCAATGAGGGCATTTCATTTAGGTTTTCAATTCTATCCTGATGATTTCTCTCAAGCGAAGCATGCCTTCTTCACCTCCTTTAATCCCAAATTCCAGCTGTTCACCTTAATCGAGGTTTTCAATTCTATCCTGATGATTTCTCCCAAGCAAAGCATGCCTTCTTCACCTCCTTTAATCCCAAATTCCAGCTGTTCACCTATCCAGCTCTTCATCTGTCTCAAGTGTGAGCTCTCTTGTCCCCGGCCCAGAAAGAAGCAGGCTTCAGATTTGCAACTTAATTGAAATACTTCCCCCACCACCACCACCAACTCTTCTCACAATCCCAGGTTGGCGGGAAGTCTGTGCCCTCAGAAAATCTAAGTCTGACTTCTCACCTCTTTACCAGCCTTCCCATTTCCCCTGGCCCCTTCCTGTCCTGTCCCCAGAGATGTTGATACCCTCCCTTACTCCTAGAGTTTCCATTTATTGTCATCCTCTTCTCCCGCTGCTCTTCCCAGGCCTGAAAAGAATGGAGCGGCCACTGGAGTGGATGCTGTCTGCACGCACCGCCCTGATCCAGTGGGCCCTGGGCTGGACAGAGAGCAGCTGTATTGGGAGCTGAGTCAGCTGACACATGGTGTCACCCGGCTGGGCCCCTACACCCTGGACCAGGACAGTCTCTACGTCAATGGTGAGGGTCTGCCATCCTTTTTGTTTATTTTGTTTCTGCTGGGTTTTGTTGCCGTGCAATCTCTAGTTGCAGTGAGGGGGGCTACTCTCTATTTGTGATGTGTAGGCGTCTCATTGTGGTGGCTTCTCTTGTTGTGGAGCATGGGTTCTAAAGCATGTGGATTTCAGTAGTTTTGGTGCATGCACTTAGTTGCTCCTCAGCATGTGGAATTTTCCCAGTCCAGAGACTGAACCCATGTCCCCTGCACTGCAGGCAAATTCTTAACCACTGGACCACCAGGGAAGACCACCATCATTTTTTTTAATGTTTGCATTTCAAGAGGCCCCGCATTCTCCCTATGCTTTCTTCACTTTGACCCATCTTTCCCGCTTTTCTCCCTTCCTCCCCCTATGTGTGTAGGATACAACCACCAAATTCAGACCACCACCCCTAGCAGTGAGTATTAAGAGGCCTCAGAAGTCTCTATAACCCTCTGTGTGAATCCCACCGCTTAGGAACAGAAGAGTCCAGGAGCCCACTGCCTCCCCTCCCTACCCCATCTCCCTCCAACCTTGGGAAAACAGAGACCAATACCCACTAAAGTCCCAGGTGTAGCCCCTTCCTTCCTGGATTCCCCAAGATGATGAGGTCCCCAACCCAAGCACTTGGGATGTTTTCTCCCAGCTTCTGTGATGACAGTGCCTCCATCAGTGGTGAGGGACTATGTTGGGGGTGGGTCTCTTCATCCCCAGTGGGCGGGCTCTGCTGCAGAAGGGTTCTGCACTTCCACTGGGGACTCATATTTCAAGGTGCTTAGGGTGGCTCAGCGGTAAGGAATCCATCTGCAATTCAGGAGACTCGGTTTCAATCGCTGGCTCAGGAAGACCTCCTGGAGGAGGAAATGGCAACCCTCTCCAGTATCCTTGACTGGGAAATCCCACAGACAGAGAAGCCTGGTGGGCTACAGTCTGTGGGATCACAAAGAGTCCAACATGCCTTACCGACTAAACAACAGAGCGCATCTTTGTCTCTCCGGAGATGGAGGGCAGTAGCAGACTTTGATCCTTTCCCGGTGAGCACTCGGTCTGCTTTGTAATGACTCAGGGCCATATTGGTCCAGCTGCCATCTCTCCAGTGGCCAAGCTGTCTCTTCATTAAACATCTCTCCCTTCCCTTCCTCACCGTCTCACCCCCTCTTCACAGGTTACTCCCATTGGACCTCAGCCACCTCTGCCACCAGTGAGTATTTCTATGTACCTGTGACTACCTCCCTTCCCCTGAAACATAAGAGTTGTTTAACCAGCCAATCCGTCCCTCCTGTTATACCCCTCTGGATGGTAGTGGTCCAGAGGACATGCATAGGAAATGTGGACTGAATTGCAGGTGGCAGGAATCACCTCTCCTCCCCTCCTGGATACACACAACCGAGGATAGTGCCCTGACTGCAGGCTAAATGGGGCAGAGAAAGACACATTTTTTGTTTCTTTGTTTTTATTTTTTAAAACTTTTTATTTTATATTGGAGTATAGCCGATTAACAATGTTGTGATAGTTTCAGGTGGGCAGCAAAGGGACTCAGCCATACATATATACATTCTCCCCCAAACTCCCCTCCCATCCAGGCTGCCACATAACATTGAGCAGAGTTCCCTGTGCTATACAGTAGGTCGATGTTGGTTATCCATTTTAAATATAGCAGTGTGTATGTGTCTATCCCAAACTCCCTAACTATCCCTTCCCCCATCCTTCCCCCCCGACCCCTGCAACCATTAGGTTTGTCCTCTAAGTCTGTGAGTCTCTTTCTGTTTTGTAAGTTAGTTCATTTATATCATGTCTTTTTAGATTCCACATGTAATGAATGTCATATTTCTCCTCTGTCTGACTTACTTCATTCTGTATGACAATCTCTAGGTCCACATGTTACTGCAAATGGCATTGTTTCATTCTTTTTCATGGATGAGTTATATTCCTGTGTGTGTGTGTATGTGTGTGTATACACAAATCTTCTTTATCCACTGCTAAAAGAGGCAGGAAAGTTATGATCAACCTAGACAGCGTATTAAAAAGCAGACACATTACTTTGTCAACAAAGGTCNGGTAGGAAGGCTCTTACTGGTACCCAAGCCATTTTTACAAAATCATTCCCACAAGATCACATCTTCCTTCATTGCTTACTCACCTTCCCTGAGTGAACACATCCATTTCCATGGATCTTAAGGGCCATCTGGCTGCTTAGGGTCCAGTTGTTCAGAATCTAAACCCTGAGTCCAGCCCCCACCACACAGCAGCTCCCGACCCTGAGTCCACCCAGCTGCCAGACATCACACAACCTCTTGGTCTGTGACCCTTAACATCATCATCCTCTCCCAAACTTGTTCCTTCTCCTCATCACCAAAGGCAGAGACATGAGTGCCAGCTTAAGCCCTCCCTCTTGCTCACCACCCACATCTGTCCATCACAACACCATCTCCTTTTTAAATGTCTTGAGAGTCTTTCCTTTCCCTGCATCTGCATTGCTTAATCTTTAATTTGGGCCACCAGCATTTGGACTACTGCAGTAATTTCCACACTGGCTTCCTACAGTTTTCCCCACGGCACCTGTCATGTCCCTCCTAATGTGCCTCTGTCCATATAATTCCTCTCTCTTATTTATTTTTGGCTGTGCTGGGTCTTCCTTGCCACTTGCAGGCTTTATCTAGTTGCAGCGAGCAGGGGCTCCTCTCTAGTTGCGGTGCACAGGCCTCTCACTGTAGTGGCTTCTGTTGTGGGACACGGACTTTAGGTGCTCGGGCTTCAGTAGTTGCAGCACACAGGCTCAGTAGTTGAGGTGTCTGGGCTTATTTGCTCTGTGGCATGCGGAATCTCCCTGGGCAAGGGATCAAACCCCTGTCCCCTGCATTGGCAGGCGGACTTTTAACCACTGGACCGCCAGGGGAGCCCTAATTCCTCTCTTGTGGACAATCTTTGGATGACCCCATCTGGTCTACAAATCAAGTCCAGACCCTTGTCCTGCAGAGTCGCTGCCTCAGTTTTCTGGGCTCAGAGGATCCCCCCAGTTTCACACCTACCCTCCCCCATGGCCAATGCACTTCATTCTGAGGGTAACTGTTCTGCCCTCCTGCCAGGACTATAGCCACGTTGTTCCCTCTGCTTAACACTTGCTCTGTTCCTATTCACCTAACTCTTACTCATAGGTTTGGTTACACTTAAAATGATGTTTCCTCTAAGAATCTTTCCTCAGTCACTGACTGGGTGACCATCCTGGAATTGCACACCATCCCCCACCAGCTTCCCCTGCAGCATAATGACCTGATCACTCCACTGGCCACATTGAGAGACTATGCCCTATTCATCTTTTTTTTTTTTAATATTTTATTTATTTGGCTGCATCAAGTCTTAGTTGTAGCATGTGAACTCTCAGTTGTGGCACACCAGATCTAGTTTCCTGACCAGGGATTGAACCCCGTCCCCCTGCATCGGTAGTGTGGAATCTTAATGACTAGACCACCGGGGAAGTCCCATGCCCTTTTCATCTTTGGGCTCGCAGAGTCCAACACAGAACCTCACACATACTAGGTATTCAATAAGTGCTCACGGAATGAATGGACAAAGGTTCCTGATATCTTGGCAATTCCAGAATGTTCTCTCTTTCAGCTTGAGAAGCCTACAGCTTTCCTTAATCTGCTTCTGGTGCCTTGAGTAGAGTTCCCTCTGCTGTACAGTTGGTTCTCATTAATTATCTATTTTATACGCAGTAGTGTATGTATGGGCTTCCCAGGTAGCACTAGTGGTAAAGAACCCGCGTGCCAATGAGGGAGATGTAAGAGGTGTGGGTTTGATCCCTGGGTCAGGAAGATCTCCTAGAGGAGGGCATGGCAACCCACTCCAATATTCTTACATGGAGAATCCCATGGACAGAGGATTCTGGTGGGCTACGGGCCCATCGGGTCTCAAAGAATTAGACTCGACTGAAGCAATTAGCACACACATGTGTATTTGTCAGTCCCAGTCTCCCAGGAAACCTTGGCCATGACTGTGGCCCAAACTGGACATCCTTCTCTTCCTCCCCCACTGCAGCCACTGACCTTCACCTGGTGTCCTTCACCTTGAACTTCACCATCACCAACATGCAGTACACGGAGGACATGGGTCACCCATCTTCTCTGAAGTTCAGCGCCACCGAAAGCATCTTACAGCATCAAGTGAGAGCCCTTGATCGGCCTCTGTTAGGTCCACCTTGTCCCTATGTATCCTCTCATCCCTTCTGCTCACCTCCCTCTCTTTCCCCACCAGCTCAGGGTCTTGTTCAGTAAGACCAGTGTCGGCCCCCTCTATGCTGGCTGCAGCCTGGAGTTGCTCAGGTGAGACTCCCCCAGATGAAATGATTCATCTGGTCACTGGACTCTCTTGCACCGGGTGCTGGATTCAGTGGCTAGGCATGTCCCTGGAAGTACTGAGCTCCAGGGCCCACCATGACCCCTCAGGCCTTCTTACTGCCCAGATGGTGCTATGCTCAATGCTTGGAAACAAGGCATCATGTTGTTATTTACAGAATCTGTAAATTTTGTCTCAAATGAAAGCTCTCCCCTGCGAAGAAGTGGGATAATCAGTGCAAATTCCTATCTGCAAATTCCTTTCTTTAAAAAAATCAATTTATTTATTTGTGCTTTCATTTATTTTTGGTTGTGCTGGGTCTTTGTTGCTGTGCGGGCTTTCTCTAGTTGTGGCTAGCTACCTTCTAGTTGTGGTGCACAGGCTTCTCTTTGTGCTTGCTTCTCTGGCTGTGGAGCTCGGGCTCTAGGGTGCGCTGGCTTCAGTAGTTGCACACAGGCTTTGTTGCTTTGCAGCATGTGAGATCTTCTGAGACCAGGGATCAAACCCATGTCCCCTGCATTGGCAGGCAGATTCTTAACCACTGGAACACCAGAGAAGTCCCTCTTTTTTTTTCTTTTGGTCACATCGCATGCATGATTTTAGGTCCTCCACCAGGGATTGAACCCAAGCAGGGCAGTGAAAGCACCTAGTCCTAACCCCTGGACCACCAGGGAACGCCCTTGCAAATTTCTAATTAAAATGTTTTCTGTTCTGAGTTTCTAGGGGCTGGTCTCAGATGAAAGACACTTAGGAGAACTGCTGAAGGCTTCCAAGCTAATGCCTTCAGCATCTCCCTTAGCTGCCTCCCTTTCACACCTAGACGGACTCCTCCTTAGTACTCCACGTTCCTGCATCTTTTCTTCTCTAGGCCTGAAAAGAGGGGAGCAGCCACTGGAGTAAATATAGTCTGCAGACTCCACTCTGACCCCGCAAGACCCGCACTGAACACACAGCAGCTGTACTGGGAGCTGAGCCGTGGGACAGACGGCATCACCCAGCTGGGCTCCTTCAGTTTGGACAGAAATAGCCTCTACGTGAATGGTGAGGGACTACGTCATAACCATGGTCTCTCAAGAGGAGGGGGACTTGAGTTGCCATTGTTTTCGTTCTTCTGAAAGGAGTTCTGATCTGTCTTCTTCTCCTTCTGGTCTGGGTTGTCTTCATTATGATGAAGTAATAACTTGGTTCCGCCCAGTCTTGTTGCCTGCTTGCTTCTTCTTGAACATCCCTCCACCACCTCTTCTTCTCTGCTTTCCCCACATAGGTCCTTAGATCCTCCCTCTTCTTTAATCTTTTTTTTATGTATAATATTTTTTATTTTATTTTTTGTATGAAAGTGAAAGTGTCAGTTGTTCAGTCATGTCCTGCTCTTTGCAACCCCATAGACTGTAGCCTGCCAGGCTCCTCTGTCCATGGAATTCTCCAGGCAAGAATACTGGAGTGCGTTGCCATTCTCTTCTTCAGGACCCCCTGAAGAACCCAGGGATTGAACCCAAGTCTCCTGCATTGAAGGCAGATTCTTTACCATCTGAGCCACTACTTTTGCTTAATTTTATTGTTCTAATAGCAATAATGACATTAACCCATTAAAATGCTTCAAATTCTCGATAACACATTTTCAATTTTTCCTTGAAATAACTTCCTTCTTTTTTTTTTTTTTTAAAATCGGGGTTTCCCTGGTGGTTCAGTGATAAAGAATCTGCCTGTCAATGCAGGAGATACAGGAGAGAGGGTTTGATCCCTGGGTCAGGAAGATTCCCTGGAGAAGGGAATGGCAACCGACTCCAGTATTCTCGTCTATAAAATCCCATAGAGGCCTGGCAAATCCCAGAGGGGTCTGGCAGGCTGTAAAATCCTGGAGGGGCCTGGCAGGCTACAGTCCATGGGGTCACAGAGAGTCAGACATAACTCAGCATGCCTGCACATAATTGCTTTACGATGTTGCGTTAGTTTCTGCTCTCCAACAGTGTGAGTCAGCTGTAAGTATACTCACCCCTCCTCCTTCCTGAGCCCCCCATCCCACCCATCCAGGTCATCACAGAGCACTGAGTTGAGCTCCCTGTGCTACACAGTAGCTTCCCAGTTCTGTTCACTCAGTCATGTCTGACTCTTTGCAACCCCGTGGAGTGCAGCATGCCAGGCTTCCCTGTCCATCACCAACTCTCGGAGCTTGCTAGCTAGCTATTTTACACATAGCAGAGTATGTAAGGGCTTCCCAGGTGGTGCTAGTGGTAAAGAACCTACCTGCCAGAAGACATGAGATGTGGGTTCGATCCCTGAGTCACAAAGATCTCCTGGAGGAGAGCATGGCAAACCACTCCAGTATTCTTGCCTGGAGAACCCCATGGGCCGAGGAACCTGGTGGGCTACAGTCCACAGGGTCGCACAGAGTCAGATGCGACTGAAGCAACTCAGCACACACACACAGTGTATAGATGTCGACGTTAATCTCTCAATTCATCCCATCCTGTCCTTCCCCGCTGTGTCCACATGTCCTTCCTCTATGTCTGTGCCTCTATTCCTGCCCTAGAAATAGGTTTATCAGGAGCATTTGCTAGACTCCTCATATATGCGTTTATGTACAATATTTGTTTTTCTCTTTTTGACTTACTTAATTCTATATGACAGTCTGAAAGAGAAGAACAAATACCGTATATCCCTTAATCTATTATGTTCACCCCAGTGCTGATTCAGCTTCTCTCATCTTCTCTCGGCAGGTTACACCTATGCAGCGCTGGCCCCCCCTACCACCAGTGAGTATGCCCGGCCTGGATTTCCTGGCCCACCTCCACTTTGGGGTTGGAAAGCAGTTTTTCTCCTTCACCCTCTGTCCTCCATGAGGGAAGCTTCTGGAAGATCCCTAACTCATCCCTTCTCTCTCTCCTGGATCCCGGTGGGACGTTCCCGCCCAGGAGGTTTTAGACACATTTATGCTCTCCCACCCGGCTTCCCTGGTGGCTCAGCAGCAAAGAATCTGCCCACAATGCAGGACTCGTGAATTCAGTCCCTGGGTCAGAAATATCCCCTGGAGAAGGAAATGGCAACCCACTCCAGTGTTCTTTGCTGGAGAATTCCATGGACAGAGGAGCCCGGTGGGTTACAGTCCATGGGGTGACAAAGAGTCGGACATGACTGAGTGACTGAAAAACAACAACAACGTTATCCCACTATATTCTGACCTTCATATGGCTTGCATTTTAATTCTCCTGAAACCATGTCCTTAGTACTCTTTTTAAATATTTTATTTATTTATTTATTTGACTGCTTCGGGGGCTGGTTATGGCATGCAAGATCTTTAGTTGTGGCATCCAGGACCTTTTTTTAAGTCGCACATGCAGGATCTTTTTTTCAGTTGCGGCATGCAGACTCCTAGTTTCGGCGTGTGAGATCTTAGTTCCCTGACAAAGGCTCGAACCCAGGTCCCATGCATTGGGAATCTTAGCCACGAGATCAACAGGGAGGTCTCCAGTCACCTTCTGAGGAACTGAGACTGGAGCTTCAACATATGAATGGGGGGACAGTTCATTAAAGTATATACACTCTATACCTTAATTCTCCATACAGTCATGTGATTTTCCTCCATTTTACAGTTGAGGAAACTCAGACTCAGAATACCAAGCTACACAGCAGATAAATAAGGAAACCAAGAGTTCATGCAATTCCAAAACTCATGTTGTCACTTCTTGTTATTTATAGTGAGTTTGTCTCAAAAGACATGCTGATTTTTGGTGCACACCTATTATGTTTTAGTTCATGGACCAGACATAATAGGTATTCACCAAAATGCATTCCCAGAAAATCCTGTAATGAGAACCTTGTAGGTTTTCAAGAATCTACCACCCTTGTCTTTCTCAGTCACTAAGTCACATTCAAATTTTTGTGCCCCGTGGGTGGTAGCCTGCCAGCCTCCTCTGTCCATGAGATTTTCCAGGCGAGAATACCAGAGTGGATTGTCATTTTCTCCTCCAGGGGATTTTCCCAACCCAGGAATCAAACCCATGTATCCTGCATCTCCTGCATGGCAGGCAGATTCTTTACCATTAATGCATCAGGGAAACTCACCCTTGCCTTAGGAGTGTGTTACTTCAGCACCCTCAAACTGTCCTTGGGTCTGTCACTGATCAAAGAAATGACGAGTGGAAGGAGAGAGAGAGAGAAGATGGATGAGCTAGTGAAAGGCAGAACGATGAATGGAAGAAGGGAAAGTGAAGGGAAGGAGGGAGGATGTATAAACAGATGTGAGGAGGGAAATAGGAATGAATGGAGTGAAAGGAGGATGGATGGATGGAAGAAAGGAAATGATGGAGGGAGGGAGCAAGGAAAGACGGATGAAAGAAAGCAGGGAATGAAGGAAAGAGGGACAGAAGGATCATAGAAGGAGAGAAGAATGGGAAGAAGGGAAAAAGTGAGGTAGGAAAGAAGGATGGATGAGTGGATGGATGGATAAGTGGGTGGATAGAAGAAAGGAAGGATAAATGGATAGATGTACAGATAGGTGGGTGAAAAAAAGGAAGAAAGGATAGAAGGAAGAAGAAAGGACAAATGTTTGGGAAGAAATATGGAAGGATGGAAGCAAAGGTGAACAGAAAGGAACCTGGAAGTAGTGAAAGACAGAAAGGAGTGATGGGAAAGGAGGAGAGAGAGGAGGTAAACTTTTATCCCAGAGAAAAGCTTTTGCTTAATCACTTAGCTCCTGCTGTGCTTATCTAGCCTAGAGTCAAGTCAAGGGGTCTCTGGTCTCACTTGCATCGTACATTCATTTGTTCTACTTCTCTTGGGGTCTGTAAAAGTCACCCCAGCTATTGATCCATCTGTTCCCAGCACTATGCTTAAATGTCTTAGAAAAATTAACTTGTTGAAACTTTATAACAACCTTTGAAGCAGGAATCATTATTATATTATCTTACACATCAGTTCACTGAGATGCTGAAAGGTTGGTTCTATAACTGCTAGATTGTTGGGTTTTTTTAACCAGTGCATAAAAGATTGGCACGTCTGACTGTAAGGGGAGGAGAAAGAGAAAGAAATATACACACACACTCACACACATATATTTATATTTATATGTATATGTATTTATACATTACACAATATATAAATTACATGTTTATATAGTATACATTCACTTATAAATTTATATTTAAATATAAATATATGTGCATAGAGAGAGACAGAGACAGAGAGATGGAGAACAGAGAGACTATGACAGATGTGTGGGGTCATCAGTGCCCTCTTCTCCTGGGAAAGGACAGAGCCACCAGTGTTTTCACAGAGCCCTCCACGCCTACATCAGAGTGTGAAAAATGAGTCCCCAAATCATTAAGTCAACCCTCACTGGTTGCTGGAGCCGTCACATCAGCAAGTGACCTTCAGGTTGATCGGGAAGAAGACACAGCACCCTTGGAAGCCCCACCCGGGTGGGCACTGGGACCCACGCTCCCAGTGAACCTGGGCTCTCTCTCTACCTACTGCAGCTGGGGAGGTCAGTGAGGAGCCCTTCACGCTGAACTTCACCATCGACAACCTGCGCTACTCGGCAGACATGGGTCGCCCAGGATCCCACAAGTTCAACATCACAGACACCCTCATGCAGCACCTGGTGAGATGCCTGCTTCCCCCGCTCACCCCACCGTGTCCCTCCTGTGGACCGGCGCCCACATGTGACCACCAGTGGCTCTCTGCTTCCTCTCCAGCTCAGCCCGTTGTTCCAGAGGAGCAGCCTGGGTGCCCAGTATGCCGGCTGCAGGGTCATCTCCCTAAGGTGAGAACACCCCCGCCACCGGCACACCTAAGGACGTGGACTCCTGGCTGTGGGAGCTGCCCCCAGAGGCAGCAGGCTCTCCTTGGAGGGTCCTATTCTACATCCATTTTTTTCACATTACATTATTAATTTTTTAAAATTGTGATAACATCATTTTATTTCTTGTTAATCTCATTGTTTTAGTCCCTAAGTCATGTCCAGCTCTTTTGTGACCTCATGGACCATAGCCCTCCAGGCTCCTCTGTCCATGGGATCCTCCAGGCAGGAATACTGGAGTGGGTTGCCATTTCCTTCTCCAGGGGATCCTCCCGACCCGGGGATGGTACCCGTGTCTCATGCATTGGCAGGCAGGTTCTTTACCACTGAGCCACCAGGGAAGCCCAATAACATAAATAATATAGATGTAAAATTAGCCTGTTTAGCCATCTTTAAGTGTACAATTCAGTGATATTGATTACATGCACAATGGTGTGCTAACATCATCACTGTCTACTCCCAAAACTTCTCATCACCCTGAGCAGAAACTCCGTGTCCACAGAGCAGTTAGTCTCACTTCTCTTGGTCAGTCTGTGAACTGTTGGTATGGGTGAAGCACTTTTCATTCATATTTTCATTCAACTGACACTGATGGTACAGCCTCTGAGGCAGGTGGTGCTCTGGGTGGCAGGCAGTAGACATGCCCACATCTAGTCAATAAAACTTATACCTAGTAGCAGAATAAATATCTAAGTAAAGTGATTTCAAAGGCAGTGAGAGCATAAAGAGATAGAAATGGGAGAGCAGTTTCCCAGGTGGTTCAGTGGTAAAGAGTCCTCCTGCCAATGCAGGAGACACAGGTTCAATCCCTGGATTGGGAAGGTCCCCTGGAGCAGGAAATGGCAACCCACTCCAGTATTCTTGCCTGGAAAATCCCATGGACAGAGGAGTCTGGCAGGCTGTGATCCATAGGGTCACAAGGAGTCTGACACGACTAAAGCAACTTAGGACACACGCACACACTTGAATTTGTACTGTCCTTTTAAGGAAGATGAATTTTTTCTTTCCTTTTTTACTTTTGCGTGTCATTTTATTTTCACCTTTTCTAGTTTTATTGAGTTGTAATTGACATATAGCATTGTATTATTAGTTTAAAGTGTACAACATAATGATTTGATATATTTGTATATGGTAAAATGATTATTACCACAATACATTTAGTTAACACCCATCAACACATAATTAAATTTTTTTCTTGTAGTGGGAACATTTTTTTAGCATCTCTTTCTTTAGCACTAGACAGCTAGTTCTTCTCAGCATTTGTGGAGGTGTTAATGCCACTGCAGGCATGCATTTTTTTTAAAAAAAGTTTTTTTTTAATTGAAGGATAATTGCTTTACAATATTGCATTGGTTTCTGCCATGCATCAACATGAATCAGCCATACAAAGGTATACATATATATATGTATAGGTATACATATGTATACATACATAGGTATAGGTATACATGTGTATATAGGCATACATATGTCCCTTCTAGCAGAGCACTGGTTTGAGCTCCCTGAGTCCACAGTAAACTTCCACTGGCTATCTGTTTTGCATATTGTAATGTGTATGTTTCCAGGCTACTCTTTCCAGTCATCCCACCCCCTCCTTCCCGCCCTATGTCCACAGGTCTGTTCTCTATGTCTGCATCTCCACTGCTGCCCTGCAAGTAGGTTCATGAGTACCACCTTTCTAGGTTCCATGTATACATGCACACATTTTCGAAGTGCTGGTTTTGCAAGAACCTTTTTTAGGGTCTATTGTATCACATTTTGTAGCATTGGTCTCCTCAAGGATCAAGGGATTCAGGGGCTAAACAACTCTAAACCCTTCTAATCTCTCCCTACCATAGAGTTCCTATTAAATGAATATCTACCATGTGTCAAATTGATTTTTTTTACTTGTAAAATACACATCACATGAAATTTACATCTGAACCATTTTTAAGTATATAGTTCAGTCGTTGTTGTTTAGTTGATAAGTCATGTCCAACTCTTCTGCGACCCCATGGACTGCAGCCCACCAGGCTCCTTTGCCCATGGGATTTCCCAGGCAAGAATACTGGAGTGGGTTGCCATTTCCTTCTCCAGGGGATCTTCCCAAACCAGGGGTTGAACCTGCATCTCCTGCATTAGCAGGTGGATTCTTAACCACTCAGCCGCCAGGGAAGCCCATATAGCTCAGTGGTGTTACATGCATTCACATTGCTGTCCAACCAGGCTCCAGAACTCACAAAACTGAAATTATGCCCATTAAACATTAAACAACAGCGCCTCATTTCTATATATCCCTAAGTGTTGACAACCACCATTCCATTTTCTGTGTCTATGAACTTGACAACTCTGGGTACCTCATAGAAGTGTACATTATACAGTATTTTTGTGCGTGTGACTGGCTTAATTCATTTAACACGATGCTCTCAAGGTCCATCTGTGCTGCAGCCTTTGCCATAATTTTCTTCTTTTTTAAGGCCAAAAAACATCCCACTGTATGGATGAACCACATTTTAAAATCCATTCAGCAGGACTTGGGTTTTCACACAGAGCAGGCAGTGTGCTAAGTATGGGGGGTTCCACATGACAACAGTGAACTAGACTGTCCTATTCCCTGACCTCCTGGAGGTCACCATCTGGAGGGAACAGGGACAAATAACATATGCTCACATAGAAGATAACCAGGCTTGTGATTCGACAAGCATGGGATATTGTGGGAACCTGAATGGAACCTACCCAGCCTGGGAGACTTCTTGGAGAAGGATGATGAAGTGTGTAAGTGGCGACCTGAAGGATAATCAGGAACTTACGCAAGTAAAGAAAGAAGGGGAGAAACTTACAGGCAGAAGTGACTGCATGTGCAAAATCCTAGGGTGAGAGAGTATGACTAGGTGAAGAAACTAAGAATGGTTCAATAAGGCTGGAACAAGGAAGTGAGGTATATGTGGTAACCACAGGTAAAGAAGTGCCAAGTGGACTGCATCTCCCAAAGATCAACCTCTCCTTCCCCAGGTCTGTGAAGAATGGTGCCAAGACACGTGTGAACATCCTCTGCACCTACCGGCAGTCCCCCAGCGGCCCCAGCCTGCTGGCCAAGCAGGTGTTCCATGAGCTGAGCAGACAGACCCACGGCATCACCCGGCTGGGTCCCTATTCTCTGGACAAGGACAGTCTCTACCTCAATGGTGAGTGGTTCTCAGCCCACCTCACTGGGTCCACACCCTAACGCCAGAAGAGTCTCTATTAGTGAGTCAGTTCTCTCGGGGAAACCTTGAGACAGACTCAGGTGTGAGTCTCGACTCCACACTGAACTCACACAGCCACCCTGAAAAGCTGGTCCTTGATCAAACCCATTTTACAAACAAACAAACAAACTGAGGTTCTGAAAGATTATGTAATTCGCCCAAGTGGGTGTGGCTTGAGAGTGGCAGAGTCAGGGTACAAGACTGTTTTCAGGATCCAACATTGTGCTCCATTCTATGCATTTAACTCATAGAAGAATCTTTCTAGGGACTTCCCTGGTGGTCCAGTGGTTAAGACTTCATGCTTCCAAAGCAGGAGGCATGGGTTCCATCCCTGGTCAGGGAACTAAGGTCCTACATGCTGAGGGGCATGGCCAAAAGAAAAAATCTTTCTAGGGGAGACTTAGGGAAAGAATAGCTCATATTTGTCTCCTTTCCCCACTTCTCACTTTCTTTTTTAATACACCATGCTTAAGTAAGGTCAATTCCAGGAATACAAAAATGGCCCAACATATACAAATCCATTAATATAATACAACATACCAAAAAAGGAGGTATAAAAATTACAGGGTCAATTCATGGTCATAGATGCAGAAAAGGCATTCAACAAAATTCAATGCCCATTCACAACTGAGGCCCCCATCAAAGGTGGTACAGAGGGAACACATCCTTACACAACAAACCCATCTGTGACTAACCCATAGCCAACATCACACTCAATGGTGAGGAGCTGAAAGCCCTTCCCCCAGTGCCAGAAACAACGCAAGGATGCCCACCCTCACCACCTATAGCCAACAGAGCATTGGAATTCCTGGCCACAGCAATCAGACAAGAAAAAGAAATAAAAGACACACAAACCAGCAAGGAAGAAGCAAAACCATCACTACTCACAAATGACATAGCATCTAATTCTAAATTCTACATCAGTTTGGGGTAATTTTTTTAAGTCGTTGACCTCCTTTATTTCTTCCTTTTATTTAGTGATTTAAAACGTCATCAATTGTTTCAAGAGAACAGCATCGAAACATGTATATTATCTAGGGTGAAACAGATCACCAGCCCAGGTTGGATGCATGAGACAAGTGCTCGGGCCTGGTGCACTGGGAAGACCCAGAGGGATCGGGTGGAGAGGGAGNCCCTTTGCTCTCACTCATTAATGGTAAACCTATGAATGGTTGTCCTTGGACAACCACTTATACAGCCCAGGTGAGCCTGGGGGGCTTCTCCAAGTCTGGGGGTGGGCTCTGTTCCTCCCTAATACCTCCCCTTTCCACAGCTCCCGCACCAGCTACCACGTTCCTTCCTACTTCACCATCACCTGTGCAGCCAGAATCCACCACAGGTATTGGAGGCCCCTTTTCCTTCCCAAGAGATGCTCTCCAGCCTCACACATCCACCGGCCAATTTAACGTAGGAGCTGGGAGGCCAGGGTGTGCAGTTCTGGTTTTAGGGCAATCATGCTTATCTCAAAGATTATACCAACAATTCAATCTGATGCTGGCCCTCATGGAGCCCCCACTCTTGTGAGACTAACAGACTATTATAATGTATGTCTTGGGGAAAGGCACCTGGCACCGTTTAGAAGGGAAAGGCTTTCTGGAGAAACTTTCATATGACCCAAGTCTTTAAGTAAAAGTAAGCGCCATCCAGGCAAATAAGGAATGAAAAGTTTTCCTGGCTGGTGGGATTCCATGAGCAAAAATGTCAGTGGTCAAAAACAGCATAGTGTGTGGGAAGAACTGAGAGGAATTTGGTTTGCATGAAGTTTAAAGTTTAACCTGGAGTAGATGGATCCCTTAGTTGCTCAGTCATGTCTGACTCTGTCACCCATTGAATTCTCCAGGCAAGAATACTGGAGTGGGCAGCTATCCCTTCTCTAGGGGTTATTCCAGACTCAAGGACTGAACTTGGGTTTCCTGCATTGCAGGCAGATTCTCTATTCTCTGAGCCACCAAGGAAGCCCTGGTGTAGATGAAGTAAATGGACACATTAAGCTGAAAGGTTGGCAAGAACCAGATTAAGAAGGACTTTGAGTCCCAGATCAAAAAAGTTTAACTCAGTGCTGAAGGCCATAAGGAGCCACAGGTGGTCCTAGAACAGTGGTGACAATAGTCAGGTTTTAATTTAAGAAAATTTATTCTAGTTTTCAGTGTAGAGAACATCCCTTAGTAAGGGCATCCAGTGAGGCTGCTGGGGTGTCAGTCCAGGTCAGAGAAGATAAGACCTGCACTGCGACAGGGATGGAGAGAGGGGATGTATGTAGGAAGCATTCTGCAAGTACAACTGGTATTAACTGGAGATGAGGGAGGAGGCGCTGAACAGATAACACTGGTTTCGACTTGGTGGGTGGTAGTGCTACTGGAAGACAACCAATTACAATGAATATGGAACTCTGATGTGATTCTAGGTCAGCTCTCAGTGATAACCATCTATCCCCCTGTCTTATTGCAGCTATGGGATACAACCTGAAGACCCTCATACTTAACTTCACCATCTCCAACCTTCCGTACTCAGCAGACATGAGCAATGGCTCCGCCATGTTCAACTCCACTAAGATGATCCTGCATCGCCTGGTGAGGTGCTGGTCCCAGCAACCACTGGTGGGATCATTCCAGTGTATCCTCTGCCCCAGTGCCTGATCTTTCTGCTCATCATCTTTCTCCTACCTCCCCAGCTTGGATCCTTGTTCCAGAAGAGCAGTCTGGGCCCCTTCTACTCAGCTTGCAGACTGATCTCCCTCAAGTAAGACCTTTTTCTGAGCATTTGCCAGTAAAGACCACTTCTGGTGTCCACCCATTTCTGTCTTCCCACTGACCTCTCATTTGCTTCTCCCTCTTCTTGGCCCCACGCCCAGTGGTTTCAAGACCTCTCTCTTGAGTTCCCACACTCTCTCTCTCCCTAGACCTGAGAAGGATGGTGCAACCACCAGCGTGGATGTTGTCTGCACCTACCACCCTGACCCCATGAGCCACAGGCTGGACATAGAGCAGCTTTACTGGGAGCTGAGCCAACTGACCCATGGTGTCACCCAGCTGGGCTTCTACACTCTGGTCAAGGACAGCCTCTTCATCAATGGTGAGTGTTTATGCTGAACTTGGATTAACAGCGATCATTACTTGTCCCTGTTCTATTTTATTTCCTCTTGAACAAGTCAGCCCAAGTTCTATCTGGGGAGCACCTTCCAAACCTCCATGGGGTTGGTCAGGAAAATAGCATGGAATTCTTTGACCAAATGAATGTCAATGAATTTTCATTCAAAACCAAAATGTCTAACCCATGGGATCTCTTGGGACTGAAGTTCAATGCAAGGTTCTTCCATGGCAGTGGTTCTTACCTGGGGATGATTTCTGCCTCACTGAGAGATACTCAGCAGTGTCTGGCGACATTTTTGATTATCACAGTAGGGGAGGGTGCTCCTGACGTCTAGTGGATAAAGGCCAAAAATGTAACCAATACCCTTCAATCCACAGGAGACCCTCACCACCAAGAATTATACAGCCTCAAATTTCAGTAGTTATGAGGATGAGAAGCCCTGCTGAACATGGTCCCATTGTTCCTAGCTGAGCACCAGACCAGCACTTATCACATGTGTGCGTGCTAAGTTGCTTCAGTCATGTCTGACTCTTTGCGACTCTATGGACTGTAGCCTGCCAGGCTCCCCTATCCATGGGATTCTCCTGGCAAGAATACTGGAGTGGGTTGCCATGCACTCCTCCAGGGGATCTTCCCGACTCAGGGATTGAACCCAGGTCTCTTATGCATTGGCAGGCGGGTTCTTTGACTAGCACCACCTGGGAAGCCCAAAGCTTATCACACTTCACAGCAATTATTTAATGGTCCAACTCTACAGAATTAGTGTTTGTTTAGCATGGCACTGGATCCTGTTCTTAATATGTTGGTACACTGTAATACCCAATGAATGAGTGAACAAATGAAAGTTGAGTATCTCAGCCCTAATATTTGGGGATCCATTGCAATTCACATTCATTCATTCAACACACTCATGTGCGTGACCATTCTGTACGAAGCCATATTCTGGGCATGGAGATAGAATACACAAGTTTTTTTCCTGAAAAAGTCGTAATCAAGGGAATTAAAGATTACTTAGGGACACAAGTAAAGTAAGTCAGAAAGACAAAGGCAAATACCATATGATATAACTTGTATGTGAAATCTAAAATAGGACACAAATGAAACTATCTATGAAACAGAAACAGACTCACAGAGAACAGACTTGTGGCTTCCAGGAGGGAGGAGAATGGGGTAGAGATCCAGTGGGAGTTTGGTTAGCAGATGCAAACTATCGTATACAGAATGGGTGAACAACAAGGTCCTAGTTTTTACCACAGGGAACTATATTCAATATCCTGGGATAAACCATAATGGAAAGAATATGAAAGATATAGATATAACTGAATTACTGTGCTGTACAGTAGAAATTGGGTTTCCCTGGTGCCCAGCAGTAAAGAATCTGCCTGCAATGTGGGAGACCTGGGTTCGAGCCCTGGGTCAGGAATCCTCCGGAGGAGGGCATGGCAACCCAGTATTCTTGCCTTGGAGAATCCCATGGACAGAGGAGCCTGGTGGGCTACAGTTCACAGGGTCGCAAAAAGTCAGACACAATTGAGACGACTGAGCACGCACTGTTCATGCACAGTAGAAATGAACACAATATTGTTAAGTCAACTTCAATAAAATAAACTTAAAAAAATACTACTTGGGGACACAGAAAAGGCAGAGACACTATTATTAACAGGGTGCCATGGGAGCGCAGAGGCAGGGCAAGTCAAGGAGTGCTTCCTGGAGGAGGATATTACGTGCCTGAAACTATACTAGGCACTGGACATGACAAGAACAAGACAGATGAGTCCCTGCTCTTATTGAGCTCCATCTCAGTGGGCTCCTGAGGTAGGAATAGGAGTTTTCCTGGAAAAGAGGAGGGTGGAAGAGCATTCCAGGAAGCAGGAACTACATAAGCTCAAGCAGAAAAGCTCAGCTCAGATTTCTTATAAAATTCCAGTTTTCCTCCTCTATGGAGTGATTTTCCATTCAAGAGCCCCTAAAGTCTCCAACACATGGGCCTGAATTTGATTATGATGGTAGGTAGGGTGTCCCCTGGGCCACCATGTCTCTATGCTAAAATCTGAGTCTTTTTCTGTCTTTTCTTCCTCTCTGTGGCTCCAGGCTATGCACCCCAGAGTTTATCTATCCAGAGGGAATACCAGCTAAATTTCCACATCATCAACTGGAATCTCAGCAACCCAGACCCCACGTCACCAGAGTCCATTGCCCTGCTGTGGGACGTCAACGACAAGGTGGGGGTCTTTCTCGCCCCTGTCATCTCTCCTTACCCTGAGTGCCCCTCTCATTCCTCAGTCTGACACGCATCTATTTTTCTAAGCTATTCCCCTTCCATTTTTATTATTATATATATATATATATTTTTTGGTTGTGCTAGGTCTTCATTGCTGCACTCGTGCTTTCTCTAGTTGCAGCAAGCAGGGGTTACTCTGTCATGGTGCACGGGCTTCTCATTGCGGTGGCTTCTCTTGTTGTGGAGCACAGGCTCTCGGCGTACAGGCTTCAGTAGTTGTGGCTCCTGGGCTCCGGAGCACAGGTTCAGTAGTTATGGCGTAGTTTTAGTTGTAGCGTGTGGAATCTTCCCTAACTGGGGATCAAATCCATATCCCTTGCAATGGCAGGTGAATTCTTATCCACTGTACCACCAGAGAAGTCCTGCCCTGCATCTATTAAGTAATTGTTTCAACTCTTCCCTTTACCTACATGTCCTAGGTTATTTCAGATTCCAGAGTTGGCACCCTAGCTGCCTCCCCACTTTTCAGATGGGAAAATTGAGGCTCAGAAAAGGGCACATTGTGCCTAAGGGCACACAGTGGAGCTAAGGACAGAACCAGGATCAGAACTCAGGTCTCCCTTGCTTCAAGACCTATGTTTGTTCCTCTCTGGCTCCAGTGGCCCCCTCCAGCCAAGAGATCTCCATCTCACCCAGCCTCCCTCCCCTTTATTCTAGGTCACCAAACTCTACAGAAGCAGCCAGCTACAAGACGTATTCCTCTACTGCCTGGTCACCAACTTGACGTAAGTTGAGGAGACTGGAAGCATTGGCTGAGATGGCAGCTCTGAGCACTGGTTGGCACATCCCTGGACTGGAAGTCATTGACCTGGTGTCCATGCTTCCCCACATCCCTGACAGCTAATCTTGCCGTCTCCTTCCATAGGTCTTTGGGGGACAGGAAAAGGGTTACCCTCATGGACCCACCATCTCCCTGCACCCACCCCCTTCTTGGGAAATACAACTTTCTGCTAATAGTAATTTAATAATATTTACCATGGCCAGGCTTCATGTTGAGTACTTTCATGCATGATTATCTCATGTCATTTTCATAACATTCTCGCATGAGAGATGCAATATGTGCATCCCCCATGTTCACATGGGAAAACTGAGGCACAGAAGCTGGGTTTGAACCCACATCTCTGAAGGATGAGTAGAAGCCTAGGACATCTATACTAGAGAGAGGGAGGATCATGGAACATGCTCCTGACTTTGAAAGTTAGTAATTTCGGTTCCCTTGTGTTTAACATGGGGATAATTATAAAATAGGCTTCCCTGGTGACTCAGTGGTAAAGAATCCACCTGCTGTGCAGGAGACTTGGGTTCGATCTCTGGGTCAGGAAGAGTCCCTGGAGAAGGAAATGGCAACCCATTCCAGTATTCTTGCCTGGAATATCCCACAGAGGAGCCTATTGGGCTGCAGTCCACGGGGTCACAAAGAGTTGGACAGGACTTAGTGACTAAACAACAGATTGTAATTATAGCTTCTACCAGAGTGATAGGGAAGGACTGTGGAAGTCACTTCTTAGAGGTCCACAATAGACATTCATTATTGTTACTGTTATTGCTTCTCTTCCTAACTCCTAGAAGCTTTTCCCTTTTTGGTCAGGGTCTCTTCTCTTGCCTAGAGCAAGAAGGCAGTCAGATATTGAGGTGCTTACCCTTAGGTCTTTGACTCTACAAAGCAGGAACTCAGGACACACTGCTGGTGTTGGCTGCTGGCTGAGATCCCATGGTCTCTGTTCCCAGGTTGGATCCCATATCGGTCACCATCAAGGCCCGGTTCTCCTCCAGTGTGGACTCCAGCATGGTGAAGCAAGTATTTCTAGACAAGACCCTGAACACCTCATCCCACTGGCTGGGTGCCACCTACCAGCTCACAGATGTGCACGTGACAGGTGAGACATAGAGTGGGGGATACTTTCGTGGCTGGAAAAGGTGTTTTTAAAAAATTCTTTTGTTGTTGTTTAGTCACTAAGTCATGTCCAACTGACTCTTTATGATCCCATAAACGGCAGCATGCCAGGCTTCCCTATCCTTCACCATCTCCCGGAGTTTGCTCAAACTCATGTCCATTGAGTCAGTGATGCCATCCAACCATCTCATCCTCTGTTGCCCCCTTCTCCTCTTGCCCTCAATCTTTCCCAGCATCAGGGTCTCTTACAATGAGTCTGCTCTTCATGTCAGGTGGCCAAAGTATTGGAGCTTCAGCTTCAGCATCAGTCCTTCCAGTGAATATTCAGGGTTGATTTCCTTTAGGGTTGACTGGTTTGATTTCCTTGCTGTCCAGGGACTCTCAAGAGTCTTCTCCAGCACCACAGTTCGAAAGCATCAATTCTTTGGTGCTCAGCCTTCTTTATGGTCCAATTCTTCTATCCGTACTTGTCTTTTTAAAATTTTTATTTATTTTTGGCTGCGCTGGGTCTTCATTGCTAAGTGGGCTTTCTCTAGTTGCAGCGAGCGGGGGCTACTGTCTAGTAGCAATGTTCAGGCTTCTCATTGTGGTGGCTTCTCTTGTCGTGAAGCACATGCTCTAGGCACTTGGACTTCAGTCGTTGTAGCTGTCAGGCTCCAGAGCATGGGCTCAGTAGTTGTGATGTGTGTGTGGGCTTAGTTGCCCCATGGCAAGTGGGATCTTCCCAGACCAGGGGGTCCCTGCATTGGCAGGCAGAATCTTAACCACTGAACCATGAGGGAAGTCCAAAAGATGGTTTTATGAAGGATAGGGCTTCTGGGTATGGGCGACATGGATAGAGGCTGCAGAGGGAAAAGGAGAGGCTTTCTAGAAGCCCATGCTGATGATTCAAAGCGATCTCATCCAACAGGAGACAGGAAGAGAAAATCCAGTGATTGCAACCAGCAAAATGGTTATTTTACATGTCAGTTTTTCTAACCCAGAATGGGAAGGATCCTGGGTTTCCTTCTTAGGCTGAAGTTAAAAGCATACATTGGTTGATTCATTCATTTATTCATAAAATGTTTATGCCTTGAAAATAAATAGGCACTGATGATACATTGTGATTGCTGCTATGACAGAGGAATTTTGAAAGTCTGTGGGAATTCCAAAGAGGGATTACACTGCTCTCTCTTGGAAAGTTTTCTAGAGGAAGTGATGAAGAAACAGATCTGAAGGAGACTAGGACTTAGCTGAAGGGAAGAGATAGGGAGTTGAGCCACATGTGTCTGTAACCTAGAAGATAGAGCATGTCATTGAAGGGGGCTATTAGGAGTTTGGTGTGGCTGGAGCATACACCTTGACATAAGATGGGTGACAATTGTGGCTAAAGATGTGGGCAGAGACTTTCCTGGGCACTGGAATGGTTTGGGGAGGAATATGGCACACTCAGAGTTCTACTTTAGAAATCTCATCCTCTGGTGATTGTCCTCTACCAGGACAATGACTGGGGAGAGGGGGAAAGACACATTAGGGACCTAGATCAGTAAAGATGATGGATGCCCACTGGAATGGTCAGCACCTGCCGACTGCCCCAGAGAAATCCAATCTCCTCTTCCCCACAACCTAGTGAAGGCTCACAATGCTTAGTGGACAGCTGGACAGGCAGACAGATGAATGAATTCAAGGTGGACAGATGGTCTTCAGTAGCCAATTTTTTAAAAAATTTCCTTGAAGTGCAGTTGATTTACAATGTTGTGTTACCCTCTTCAATCTAGTCAAACAATTCAATTATACATATATATGGACTTTCCAGGTGGCTCAGTGGTAAAGAATCTGCTTGCCAATGCAGGAGACACAGGTTTGATCCCTAGGTTAGGAAGATCCCCTGGAGAAGGAAATGAAAACCCACTCCAGCATTCCTGCCTGGGATATCCCATGGACAGAGGAGCCTGGAATGTTGCAGTCCATGGTGTCGCAAAAGAATCAGACATGACACAGCAATTAAACAAGAACATACACACATATGTATTTTTCTTTTTCATATTCTTTTCCATTAGAGTCTGTCACAGACCATTGAATATATTAATAGTTCCCTGTGTTATACAGTAGGACCTTGTGGTTTATCCACTTTATATATAATAGCTTGCCTCTGCTAATCCCAAACTTCCATTCCCTCCCTCCCTCTATCTTCTTTCCCCCTTGGCAGCTACTAGTCTATTTTCTATGTCTGTGAGTCTGATTTTGTTTAACAGATATGTTGATTTATATCATATTTTAGATTCCACATATAAGTAATATCATATGGCATTATTCTTTTTCTGACTTACTTCACTTAGTATGATAATCTCTATGTCCATCCATGTTGCTGCAAACGGTATCATTTCATTCTTTTTGATTGTAGCCTACTTTTCTTGGGGTCTTCTGCCCTGGGTCTTCTTCATTGCACACACAGTCTTTCTCTAGTTGCAGCATACTTGCTTTTCTTTTGCATCAAGTGGGCTTAGTTGCCCCACGGTATGTGAGATCTTAGTTCCCAGACCAGGGGTCAAATCCCCATCCCCTGCATTGCAGCAGATCTTTAACCACTGGGGGACCAGAGAAGTCCCTGTAACCCACTTTTAAAAACCCAGCTCAGTCCACAGTGCCAGGAATAAGTAGACTGACTCTAATGACTTCTTTGTTGAAAACTTCCCCTGATGGGAACTTTCACTTTCCTTTTATTCTAGATGCGGAGCCATCAGTTCACCCACCAACAGACCAACCAGTGATCAGCCCCAGTTTCCAGAAAGTCCAGCTAAATTTCACTGTCACCAACCTATTCTATTCTCAGGACATGAAACAGCCAGACACTCCCAAATACCAGAGAAACAAGAGAAATATTGAAGATGCGGTAAGAATGGGCTTCTGTGCCCACTCTGTTCCTCTGCAGAGACTGATCTACAGACACTGAATAGGCAGAGGGTGACCTGTTTTTTTTAGTGTGCACATTTACCTTTTTTTTTTTCTCAGTTTAGCGTCTGGACACTTTTAAATTTTACTTATTTTGTATTATTTTATTTTGGTGGTGCTGGATCTTCGTTGCAGCGCACAGACTTCTGCAGTTGTGGCACATGGGCTCCAGAGTGCATGGGCTCAGCGGTTGCAGCCTGTGGGTTTTGTTGCCCTGCAGCATATGGGATCTTAGTTCCCCATCCAGGGATCAAAACTGTATCCCCCGCATTGGAAGGCAATTCTTAACCACTGGACCACCAGGGGAAGTCCCCTGGACATTTTTTATTAATTGAAGTATAGTTGATTTACAATATTGGGTTAGTTCCAGATGTACAGCATAGCAATTCATATTTTCCCTGACCAGGGATTGAACCCGTGCCCTCTGCAGTGGGAGTGGGGATTCTTTACCATTTGACCGACAGAAAAATAAATAAATAAATGGGGCAGTGTACTCATTGGCTAATTGGCACTCTCCAGTGCCACAGAGTCATGGATTCTGACCTAGGAAATGTTGCCCTATCTTTCAGCTCAACCAGCTCTTCCGAAACAGCAGCATCAAGACTCATTTTTCTGACTGTGAAGTTTCAGCATTCAGGTGAGTTGCAGCTCAGGACCTGACCACTTTGGAGACTCGTACTGTCCTTTAAAAGTGTCCCCAAGGCTGTAGTCTCTCGGTTCCCAGCTGTTGTGGAAGAGAGCCCTAGGAATACAGAGCTGTTACCCAAACACTGGGGCTTCCCTGGTGGCTCAGTGGCCAAGAATCTGCCTACCACTGCAGGAGCTGTAGGAGACACCGGTTCGATCTCCGGAGGAGGAAACGGCAACCCGCTCCAGCATTCTTCCCTGGGAAATCCCATGGGCAGAGGAGCGTGGTGAGCTACAGTCCATGGTGTTGCAAAGAGTTGGACATGACTGAATGACTAATGCTTTCAGTTTTCTGCCGTATAACAATGCAAATCAGTCATAATTATGATAATTATAATTATCACCTCCCTCTTAAGTACACTATTCTAGTGAAAAAGATCAGTCACAAAAGACCACATAATGTGTGATTCTATTTATATACATTTCATATAAATGGAATGCCTATTGTCCAGAAGACTAAATCCCCATGGGGAGAAAGGAAATTGTTTGCTAGGGGATGGGGGTGAGGAAAGAATGAGGAGGACCCATGCTAATGAGTCAACTGGTTCTAACCTTACAGTTTTCACAGTTACTGAGTCCTTTGTGAGAGTGGAATGAGAACTGTGCAAGCTATAATGCCATAAAGTTGACTCCATTTACCAAGATACAAACATTTTTTTCTTACCTGAATGCTGCTTGGCTTGTTGCCAGCCTTTGGTTCATTTCTAGACTTCCGAAAAAGTTGATTTTGGCCATGTTTACCAGTGTTCTCATTGTTTTTACAGATTTTCGGGAGTCCTTACTCCAGCATTTCAAAATGTTCTCCTTGTGCTTATTTATTTATAAATTAATCCAATTAAATAAAACGAGACATTCAGTTTCTCACAACACTAGTCATGTTTCTTTTTGAGGCAAATTTGATTTTTCTTTCTGGTTTGCTTTCATAATATGCAGATTAACCCTTTTTTTTTTTAATTTTCATAATATGCAGATTAACCCTTTTTTTTTTTAATATTTATTATTTGACTGTCCATGGAATTCTCCAGGCAAGAATACTAGAGTGGGATGCCGTTCCCTTCTCCAGGGTATCTTCCCGACCCAGGGGTTGAACCTGAGTCTCCCACATTGTAGACAGATTCTTTACCATCTCAGCCACTGCTGTGTCTTAATTGCAGCATGCGGAATCTGTTTTAGTTGTGGCATGCAGACTCTGAGTTGTGGCTTATGGGATCTGATTCCCTGACCGGGGATTGAACTCAGGCCCCCTGCACTGGGAGCACAGAGTCTTAGCCACTGAACCATCAGGGAAGTCCCACACTAGCCATATTTTAAGTGCTCGGTAACAAGGGGCAAATAATGACTGCACTGGATACTGCAGACACAAATGTTTACATCATTGCAGAAAGTTCTCCTGGACAGGACCAGCAGAGAACCTAGAATTGGGGTAGAACTGCAGATACCTTGTTCATCCCTGGTGTCCTTCTAGGTCTGTCCCTCCAAGCAACCACACTGGGGTAAACGCTCAGTGTTACTTCACGCTTCTGACTCGGAGTCCATACCAAGTTGTCATCTATGAGGAATTCCTGCGTCTGACCAAGAATGGTACTCAGCTGCAGAATTTCACCCTGGACAGGAACAGTCTCCTTGTGGATGGTAAGACTCCCTGATCATTGGGGCAGGAGTGAGGGCTTCCAATTTCCTACATGGGGTTTCCTGGGACTCTGGAGACCTGAGGATGAGTCAGCATTGAACCCTCCCAGGCTGGCAGAGGTGGCACAGTCTCCCAGACTTTACCCATCACTGAGGGAGAAGAAACGATAACCCAGTGGGACTCAGGAGACACTTGCCATCTCTCCTAGACAGCATAATGCAGCAGAAGTTTCTTAATGATGGAAGTGTCCTATATCTGTGCTGCCCAGAGCATACATCACATGAGACTCCTGAGTATATTTGAAGTATGGTTATTGTGACTGAGGACTTCCCTGATAGTTCAGTTGGTAAAGAATCTGCCCGCAACGCAGAAGACCCCAGTTTGATTCCCAGGTCAGGAAGATCTGCTGGAGAAGGGGTAGGGTAGACTACGCACTCCAGTATTCTTGAACTTCCTGGTGGCTCAGCTGGTAAAGAATCCGCCTGCAGTGCAGACCTGGGTTCAGTCCCTGGGTTGGGAAGATCCCTTGGAGAAGGGAAAGGCTACCCTCTCCCGTATTCTGGCCGGGAGAATTCCATGGACGATATAGGCCATGGAGTCACAAAGAGTCAGACCCGACTGAGTGACTTTCACTTTCACTTATTGTGACTGGCTTTCATGATTACTGAATTTTAATAGTACAGAGTACCAGATTTTTTTAAACTGCACTTCATTAAAATTAATTTTAATTTAAAAAGACACTTGTTGCTGCTTATATCACGCAGCACATCTTAAGAATTTGCCTGGGGAGGAGAGATGGGAAGGAAGAGGCAAGAGGGAGGGGGCCGTATACATATATTTATGGTTGATTCATTTCGTTGTAAGGCAGAAACTAATACAACATTGTAAAGCAAAAAAAGAATACTCCAATTAAAATCAGAAGTAGATAAAATTAAAAAGGAAAAAAGATTTTGGCTAGAGAGAGGTTGAACAAGCAAAGAGGGCCTACAACCCTCCCCCAATCAATGCTCATCAGTTCTCATATAGTTTATGTTGCAGTTGGAAATAACAAGAATAGGCAGTTGACATATGACCCAGCAATCCCACTGCTGGGCATATACACCAAGAAAACCAGAATTGAAAGAGACACGTGTACCCCAATGTTCATCACAGCACTGTTTATAATAGCCAGGACATGGAAGCAACCTAGATGCCCATCAGCAGATGAATGGATAAGGAAGCTGTGGTACATATACACAATGGAATATTACTCAGCCATTAAAAAGAATACATTTGAATCAGTTCTAATGAGGTGGATGAAACTGGAGCCTATTATACAGAGTAAAGTAAGCCAGAGAAAAAACACCAATCCAGTATACTAACACATATATATGGAATTTAGAAAGATGGTAATGATAACCCTGTATGCGAGACAGCAAAAGAGACACAGATGTATACTGAACAGTCTTTTGGACTCTGTGGGAGAAGGCGAGGGTAGGATGATATGGGAGAATGGCATTGAAACATGTAAATTATCATATGTGAAACAAATCGCCAGTCCAAGTTCGATGCATGATACAGGGTGCTCGGGGCTGGAGCACTGGGATGACCCAGAGGGATGGGATGGGGAGGGAGGTGGGAGTGGGGTTCAGGATGGGGAACACATGTACACCCATGGCAGATTCATGTCAGTGTATGGCAAAGACCACTACAATATTGTAAAGTAAAATAAATAAATAAATAAAACTGAAAAAAAAAAGAATAGGCAGTTGAAAACAATGAATTATTTGATGTGAACAAATTCACACTTAGGAGTGGTAATTAGGAGGCTTCCAAGGAAATTACAGTCTAGGTGAATCCTGGAAAATAAGTATTAAAAAAAACTCAGTAAAGGGAAAAGGGAGTGAATGTGTTCATAGGCAGAGGGCTTTTGAGTAGGAATTTATAAATTTAAAGAGATCCCATGGTCTTGTCAACTTCTATGACCCATTCTCCCCTCCACTAGCATAAGATAGTTCAGTCCATCACCAGTCATCCGTCCATTCCCAGGGGTATGATTTGAAATATCATACTCTTGTAGTGTGATTGTGGCTTTGTTATTATGTAGTAAAGTATCCTCATTTTCCAGTGATGCAAACTACAATGGGGTGAAACATTATTATGTCTACATGACTTTAATATTTCAATGGAATTATGGGATGAAACAAGTGTGGCAAGTGTTATTAAGTTATACACATGTGCCTGCATATTAAGTCATTTCAGTCATGTCCGACTCTGTGACTCTGTGGATCATAGCCCCCCAGGCTCCTCTGTCCATGGGATTCTCCAGGCAAGAATACTGGAGTGGGTTGTCATACCCATCTCCAGGAGACCTTCCTGACCCAGGAATCAAACCCCCACCACTTCCATCTCCTGCATTAGCAAGCAGGTTCTTTACCACTAGTGTCACCTGGGAAGCCAAATAGTTATACACTAGGTATGATATTGTTTGGGGCTTCCTTGGTAGCTTAGTGGTAAAGAATCTGTCTGCCAATGGAAGAGACTCAGGTTCAATCCCTGGGTGGGGAAGATCCCCTGGAGAAGGAAATGGCAACCCACTCCAGTATTCTTGCCTAGAAAATCCCACAGACTGTAGCCCACCAGGCTTCTCTGTCCATAGGAGCCTGGCGGGCTACAGTCCATGGGGTCACAAAGAGTCAGACACGACTTAGTGAATAAACAACAAATAATATTGTTTTAACTGGGTGAAATAAATATTGTTACTTCTAGATGATGGATGTTTATGACGTGGTTCTATTTGTCTGTATATTTGAAAAGTTTTATTTAAAAAAGTAAAACACACTCACATGTGTTCTCCATTTCATTCACTTTCAGGGTATTCTCCCAACAGAAATGATGTCGTGACTGAGAATTCTGGTAAGTCTCAAAGCTGCTGTAGCATAGGGTGGAGAGGGAATATTCTGGTTCTCTGCCTCGTTGAAAAGAACCACATACCCAGGGTATTGGATGATGATGAAAGTTGGTCAACCCAAGACTGGGATTTCTAAGGCACAGTTGGGGTCAGTGGGTGTCGGGGGGAAGCAGGGGCCCTGGAGGAATGATAGATGATATCTCACACCAGGACTTGTCTCCCCAGACCTCCCCTTCTGGGCCATCATCCTCATCTGCCTGGCGGGACTCCTGTTGCTCATCATGGTCCTGATCAGCTTTTTCCTGGTAAGCAAGGAGGTGTTGTCATCTTACTATCAGGTTGTAAGAGCTTTTTATGTATTATAAGGACATGTCCTCTGCTGGGGATATGTTTTGCAGATATTTTCTCCTAGTCTGTGAGGGGTTTGCCTTTTCCTTTTCTTAACAACATTTGTCAGTGGGGAAATGTAAATGAAAGTTATAATGAGATACCACTATGCATGAGAATGGTTAAAATCAAAATGACGATAACAAGTGTCAGTGAAGATATGAAGCAACTGGAACTCTCCTATAGTGCTGGTGAAAAATAGTTTGGGTGCATCTTTAAAAGTTACATTGGGTGCTCTGTGGTGACCTAAATGGGAAAGTGAAAGTGTTAGTCGCTTCAGTCATGTCCCACTCTATGTGACCCCATGGACTGTAGCCCTGCCAAGCTCCTCTGTCCATGGAATTCTCCAGGCAAGAATACTGGAGTGGGTTGCCATTCCCTTCTCCACTAAATGGGAAGGAAATCTAAAAAAGAGTGGATATATGTACACATATAGTTGATTCACTTTGCCGCATGCCTGAAACTAACATAACACTGTAAATCAATTACAGTAAAAATAAGTAAATGTCACATTGGGGTTAGTAGTCACACAGTACTACATATAGAATGGATAAACAACAAAATCCTACTGTTTAACAAGGGAACTTTACCCAGTATCCTGATAAACCATAATATAGAAAAGAATATTTTTAAAGTATATATATGTATATATGTGTATAACTAAGGGACTTTGCTGTACAGCAGAAAAAAACACATTATAAGTCAACTATACTTCAATTAAAAATAAATTTTCAAAGTTACATATATCTGTGCAACCATTCCCTCCTAGGAATTTGTTTAAGAGAAATTAAAACGCATATCTATACAAAGACTTGTACACAAATGTTCATAATAATATTTGCACTAGCCAAAAACTAAAAGACAAACCAAGAAGTCCATCAACAGGTGAATGGGTAAACAAAGTGTGGTATATTCACAGAATTCAATACTATTTAGCAATAATACTGGATTATTAACATATACAATGATAAATCTCAAAATAATTTGGATTTGAATATGCTGAATTAAAGAAGGAAGAGGAAAAAGAATACTTATTGTAGGATTCCATTTATTAAAAAACTCTGGAAAATACTAATTAATCTCTGAGGATAGAAGTCAGAACAGTGGTTGTCTGGGAATAAGAATGTGTTTATAAATAGCAAGGGAGGAAGAATTACAAAAGAACATGAGGGAAACTGGGGGAATAATGAGCATTCCTTATTTTGATTACAGGGATGGTTCAATAAGTTTATAATCCAAACTTATCAAATCATTCACTTTAAATGTATGCCGTTTACCTAAGAATAGGATCCTTCTCAGGGTCTCCATCATCTTATATATGCCAGTCTAGTAACATTATTTGTTCTCCAAAGGTTTCAGATAGGTATTTTTTCATTCTGTCTTAAGTTTTCTAGCTATCTTTATAAGAAATTTAGTCCAACTTACTTGGTGATGTATTACTAGAAGCTGAAGTCTATATAATCTTTACAATAATAGAAAATATTGAATAATACAATTTTTCATAATAATGTAAAAGCTTACATGATTTTGTTCAAAAGCTAAAATATTTAGCATTTTTATTTTCTTTAGTAAAGTGAGTTGATTAAAAGAGCAATGCTGCAGGACTTTCCCTGGTGGTCCAGTGGTTAAGAATCCACCTGCCAATGGGGACATGGGTCCAACCCCTGATCAGGGAGGATCCCACACGCCGCAGAGCAACTAAGCCCGTGGACCACAGCTACACAGTCTGTGCTCTAGAGCTCAAGAGCTACAACGAGAAGCCACCGCAATGAGAAGCCCATGCACTACAATTAGAGAGCAGCCCTAACTCTCACTCACCGCAACTAGAGAAACCCCATGCACAGCAACAAAGAACAAACACAGCCATAAATAAATAATTTTTTAAAGTACTATCACATATTACTAATGATCAGAGTATGAAAAAAGGTAGAGGAAATGTTTAAAGGCATATTAATATTACTAAAACTGATTGATAAAATAACTAATATATAGTCAACCAGTATTTGTTAACAATTATGGTCCAATAGAGGCTTCCCTTGTAGCTCAGTCAGTAAGGAGTCTGCCTGAAATGCAGGAGACTGAGGTTCGATCCCTGGGTCAGGAAGATCCCCTGGAGAAGGAAATGGCAACCCACTCCAGTAGTCTTGCCTGGAGAATACCACGGACAAAGGAGTCTGGCAGGCTACAGTGCCTGGGGTGGCAAGAGTCAGACACGACTTAGCAGCTAAACCACCATGATCCAATAATTTAAAACGTATATATATAACTTGGAATATATATTCTTTCTGTTGTTTGATTCCAAGTTTACAAGCAGATGCTGAAAGCTAATAAACCCACCGTGCACACTACTGGTCACATTTCAAGTAAATGGCAAAACAAAAAACAAATAAAAACACTACATACTCATTCTTTGAAAGATGTCTAATTCTGATAAACTTTAAACATTTTGAAAAAATAAATATATGCAGTTTACTGTATATCAGTTAAGCTGGGGTGAGGGGAAGGAGACAAGATATGAAGGGGATATCAGAAAAAAGAAACAAAAAACCAAATTTTTTTAAAAGGTAAAAAGTGAAGGGGCTATCAGAGAGAAAATGGTAGGAAAAAAATGGAGAGTTAAAGGGAAGAAAGACGAAAAAGAGGTGAAAGAGGGGGAAAGGAGAGGCTGAGAGAAAATTAAGAGAAAACAGGAAGAGAGACACATAGCAACAGCAGGTCTCTGTGGCTGTGGCCATCTCCTTCACCTGTAGCCTCGCATACTTGGGTAGATGACTGGTCCATTCTGAACCCTCTGTTCACCCTCGCAGGTCACTGTCCACCGGCGGAAGAAGGAGGCAGACTATGAGGTTCAGCAACACCAGCCCAACAGCATGGGCCATTACCTGCCACACCTGGACCTGAGGAAGCTGCAGTGACACCTGCCCAAGTCCCCTTTCCCCAGACAGTTTCCAAAGGAGGTTGGCTGGAACAGAAATAAACCACGTTGGTCGGACACAAGCTCCAGGCCTGTCTTGGCCTGGCCCCTACCTGGTTCACAGTGGACTGAGAGAAGAGGTCTCCCCTTCGCTGTCCTGAAGGCAGCTGCAACTTCTGTCTGATGGTTTCACACCCTCAGGGACCCCAGGACTGGTGAGATAGGCACAGACGTGGCTAACGAACAAAATCGACATCCCACTTAAGTGAGGTTTACCTTCCGAGTCACCCCTTGAACACCTCTCTCCTTGACTCCTGGGCAGCCATCACCCCATCACTGTTCTTCCATGTTCTCACCTGCTTCCCCGAAGCCCTGGCAGTCTCAAGTTCCTTGTGAACTACTTTATTCTCTGATGTTCAGATTCACCAGGATGTTCACTGACTCCTCTCTTTCATCACAGGTCCTCCAAGGTAGGAAATAGACTAAGAGGAGTTAGTGGGTCAGCCACGATTCTGCAGTCAGTCCTGGGACTTGGTATCTGGGAAGACTGAATCTCAGAGTGGCAGCAAACTCTAGAGAGATAGAGTCTACATTGGATTTAAAGATGAATAAAACTCAGGGGAAAGATCTGAGAGAAAAAATAAAGACAGTCCCTTTTTTCATTTTTTCCTGCACTGAATCTAACTGAATGGTTAAAGCAGAGACTCCCCATCACGCAGCTGGAAGCATCCCAGGCATGATGCTAATACTGTAGATGCTCTGTTACTGTTTAATACCTCACTCTCAGAAACTGTAAATCCCAGACCTGCCTGGTGGTCTAGTGACTAGGACTCCATGCTCCCAGTGCAGAAGGCCCAGGTTCGATCCCTGGTCCAGGAACTAAGATCCTGCATGCTATACAGCACAGCCAAAAAAACAAACAAACAAAAAGCCCCACATGATTTAACTTCTGGGTATTAAGAACAATTAAGAAATTAGCTACATGACCAAAATTAAAACAAAAAAAAAAAAGAAAAATTTCCTGGCAGAAAAAACACCTGGATTCATAGGCACATAATCTTGACTCATAAAATATAATGAACAAAGGAAGAAAATTACAAAGTTTACCTGAAAATTAATAATTATAATGGGTCATTTTCATATATCCTCTCAAGAAATGAAAAACACAGTGTTTGTTAGCACGTGATGGTTTAGAGAATAGTTAATAAAATGTTTCTATGAAACAACTACCAAAGCATTCCTGTGGCAAAAAAAAAACTTGCATACTTCTTACATACAAACATAATTTAAAACATATTGAGAGATTATAATCAACTACAAGAATAGGACACACCAACACAAGGAAGGAGTTTATTTTCAGAAATGAATAAAAGATCAGGTGAAGGCAGCCAGTGTACAATGCAGTAGAGAAACAAACTCCCTTGTTTTTTTACTGCATCACTGTAGGTGTCATGGTGAATCAGGAAAACACACTCGCTAGCACCATTAACAGCATAAGGTGTTTGTTAAACACTTTAGACTTTAAATGGATATAATCTAGAGAAGAGGGGAATCAGACAATACACCCAAACAGTAAAATCCAAAGTAGCTTCTTGGTGGATACAAGAGGCCTGACAGAAAAATCCCAACTCCGATGGATCTTTCATGTGGATCTTGGGAAGACATCAGTGGAAACCTACAGCTCTACAAAAATGGAAAACAAACACTGGTGGTGGTTTTGAGGCACTCTTGATTGGAAAGTCAAAGAATCCAAAATGATGGGGTGAAAGATGGTATCCTTAAGTGAAAGTCACTCCATTGTGTCCAACTGTTTGCGACCCCATGGACTGTATTCTCCAGGCCAGAATACTGGAGTGGGTAGCCGTTCCCTTCTCCAGGGGATCTTCCCAACCCAGGGATTGAACCCAGGTCTCCTGCATTGCGGGAGGACTCTTTACCAGCTGAGCCACAAGGGAAGCCCATATATGGGCTTCTCTCTTCATGCATGGCGCCTCCAAACTCTGAATAATGCCTTGTTTGTTTCTGCTTTCCAAATCCCATGCAAGTAAGGCTATCAATGGATTCTACCATGGAACCATAAATGGGATGGATGCTAGAAAATTTTGTTTCTAACATTACACAGAGAATCAGATATCTGTCCCATCACAGGTCTTTCTTCTCAAAATCTATTCACCAAATACCAGTCAGAGGAAGGACAACAAGCAAAGGTCCAAATATAAAAACAATTATTCACATGAAAGTCCCAAAAAAGGAGCTTTGTTATTAAAGATAAAACACATAAAACAGACTATTAAAGACATCCAGGAATTGTCCAGAATCCAGATATCCAGTAGGAAAATCCCAACAAATGACCACATTTTCATACTGCTTAATACAGAATAAAATTATAAAAAATGAAATCTGACTACACACACATCAGATATACACTTCAATTCACCCTTGGATCCAATAAACTTCCAAATGGAGAGAGAAAATATTAACTGATTCAAAGGAAAAGCACTACCTTTTAATCACATGTACTACTGTTCACTGGCTTCCCTGGTGGCCCAGTGGTAAATAATACACCTGCCAATACAGGAGTCACAGGATACACGGGTTCGATCACTGGGTCGGGAAGATCCCCTGGAGGAAGAAGTAGCAACACGCTCCAGTATTCTTGCCTAGGAAATTCCAAGGACAGAGGAGCCTAGTGGGCTACAGTCACAAAGAATTGGACATGACTGAGGAACTGAACAACTACTGTTGAAAGATGACTTGCAGAATTCAGTTCAGTTCAGTTCAGTCGCTCAGTCATGTCCGACTCTTTGCGACCCCATGGATCGCAGCACACCAGGCCTCCCTGTCCATCAACAACTCCCGGAGTTTACTCAAACTCATCTCCATCGAGTCGGTGATGCCATCCAGCCATCTCATCCTCTGTCATCCCCTTCTCCTCCTGCCCCCAATCCCTCCCAGCATCAGGTCTTTCCCAATGAGTCAACTCTTCGCATGAGGTGGCCAAAGTATTGGAGTTTCAGCTTCAGCATCAGTCCTTCCAA